ACTTCTTCTTGTCCAGATCAACCTGCCACTCCTCGACCTTCAGAGGCTCGGCCCGGGGCTCGCGGACAACAAGAGGTGCCCCGGTCTTGTTCTTGTGTACTGTCAGATCGTAGGCACTCCGATCGGCGCAGCCAACACATTCAATCCATCCGTAGCTGGTCAGCAATTCCGCATCCCAGCAATCAGCGGCGTAGTGAGCCATCTCGTTAGCCATGTGCTGGCGGAAGCGGAGCTTGTTCGGGTCAACGCCGAGCTTGAGAAGGAACAGCTGGATACGGGCGATGAAGTATCCAAGTGTCTCGTTGTCGACCATACCGGTCTCAACCGCCTTACCGATGGTCATCTTCTCAGTCTTGGTGCTTCCAGAGAGCTGAACGTTACGGTTGAGGAAAGACATTTCAATATCCTTAACTTCCTCGAACCGGTGATGCTTCTTGCCACCCTCCGGGTCCACGTAATGTTCAATCTCAGCCATGAGGAACTCACGCACGCGCAACAGACCCGCGCGAGGAGAAATCTCGTTGCGGAAAGACTTGCCGATGGAGGCCGATGCGAAAGGCATGGATTGTTGATTGAACTCCAGCAGCTTCTGGAAGTTCAGGAACTGACCCTGAGCGGTTTCAGGCCGCAGGTAACCCGGCATGTTGCTGCTGGGGCCAATTGAGGTCTGGAACATGAGGTTGAAAGCGACGGGAGGAAGGAGGTTGCCATCGGTCGTCGGGTTTCTGATGTCGTGTTTGGCGATGATCTCTTCCAACTGAGGGCCATCGAAGTTATCAATCTGCGCCAAAATCTCCTCGTATTCCTTGACGAGGGCATCATCAAGCTTGACGGCCTTTGCGTCCTTAGCCTTCTTCTTCTTCTTTGCTTCCTTTTCCTCGTCCACGACCACCTTCTGGCCACGCGCCTCCTTGTCGCCCTTCAAGCGAGCCTCGAGAACTTCCTCTACCAAGTGATCCGCGCGGAAGATTTCTCCAGTCTTGGGGTCCTTGCACATCCAATCGGCGAACTTGTCGACGTGTCCGCTGGTCTTCAGGATCTCATGCGGGGTGAGCATGGTGCAGTCCACTTCCAGCATGTCTTCCTCCAGCACGAAATGCTTGCGCCACAGGTCAACAATGTTGTTCAGCAGGGCGGTACCGGGGGGACCGTAGTCGTAGAGGCCGGAAACACCTCCGTAGATCTCGAAAGAGGGGGTGTAGAAAAGCCGGCGCCGGAGCATTGAGTCCAAGACCGTGCGGTCAACGACCTTGCCGGTCTTTGTGTTTACGGTCGCCATCGTGAACTGATTCTTCTTGGAAGCCTGGACAGCCTTGAGCGCGGCAGTGGTGTGGAAAAAGCTTCTGGCGGGGCTACAGAGAGGAATTTGGCGGGGAAGAAAGAGTCGAAGAAATGGCAATTGAGTCATCCACCACGTGAGTCGACCCCCAGAACCAACGAACCTGAGGAACCGACGGTTATGAAAGACAAGGGGAACTGGTAGGCAGAGATGAAACGAATGTGAGTCAGAAGATTTGAAAATCTCCCCTTTCCCTTGATTTTCTTCTTATTTTACTCGGTTTCCAAGGGTCGAATCACGTTGCCGCAATAGGCAATTCTGGGCTATCTGGTCAACCCTCCGCCGGCGAAACATTTGTCCGTCAAAATTATTCTGAATATTTGCTTCTCTCCCGCATCGGAGCTGGTAGAGCAACATCAACGAGGTTGGGCTGTTTCTCGTCTTTGGGGTCAAGATGGGTTCCAAAAAGTCGCAATCGAAGCCTCCCCCGAGCGCTGCTCTGGATTATAAGCCCGCGAACAAATTGAGGCGTCAAATGCTTCATGTCAAGCGCAAGCGGGCCAAGGACTCGGAGCGACGAGCAGAACGATTCGGAAGAAAGAAGGAAGAAGCCAAAAACCCGAAATTGAAGGAGGAGCGTCTCAAGCGGAATATTCCGCTGACTCTGGATCGGAAGCGTGTCTGGGACGAGGCCGGTAGTGACGTTGAAGATGCCCTCGGCCTCAGCGTTGATGTCGAGCGCATCAAGCGACAGAAGAAAGAAGAGGAGGACGAACTTAACAGACCTTTGGAAGATAGAGACTCGGGCTCGGACGAATCTGAAGATGATGTCGATAGCATGCTAGCCACCAGCGACGAGGAAGAGGACAACGACGACGACGACGACGACGACGACGACGACGACGACGACGAAGAAGAAGAAGGCGGAGATGAGAAGGCTAAGAAGGATGATAATCGGGGACGCAAAAAGTCCTCCCTTCCGTCTGCTACAGAACGAGCAACCTCTCCGAGCCAGTCGACTCGGAGTACGAACCTCAACCTAGCGCCAGAGGCTCTCGCCGCCAAATTCCCAACGTTGTTCACTTCAGAGCCTCCTCCGACACCCAAGATCCTCATCACCACCTCGCTCAACTCTACCCTCCATAACGAGGCCAAATCCCTTACCAATCTGTTTCCTAACAGCGTTTATATCCGTCGTACGGCCCATCACCACTCCCACAAGTTCTCCATCCGCGAAATTGCTTCCTTCGCGTCGAATCGGAACTACACCACCGTCGTGGTTCTCCAGGAGGATCAGAAACGACCTTCCGGTCTGACGATCGTCCACCTACCTCAGGGACCCACCTTTCATTTCACTATTAGCAGATGGATAGAGGGCAAAAAGCTTCCGGGACATGGAAATGCCACCGAGCACTGGCCGGAACTAATCCTGAACAACTTCCGGACTCCTCTTGGTCTACTTACAGCCCATCTCTTCCGGAGCATGTTCCCACCACAACCGGACCTGGAAGGACGTCAAGTCGTCACAATTCACAACCAAAGAGACTACCTATTTCTCCGACGTCATCGTTATGTGTTCCGTGAGAAGCGCGAGACTGAAAAGAGTGTCGTTGGCACAGACGGCAAGGAGATTAAGGGTGTGGAAGGCATTCGCGCCGGCCTTCAAGAGCTTGGTCCCGCAATCAACTTCAAGCTGCGGCGAGTTGACAAGGGAATTCAGCGTGCTAGCGGACAGGAGTGGGAGTGGAAGGGAGGCATGGAGAAACAGCGTACCAAGTTCCAGCTGTAGCATGCTCTCATCCGGTTTTATACCTTTTGTTACGTGTCTGGTTGCATCACTGGGTTTGCACGGAGTTCAGCTTTCAAAAATGGGTCTTTGGATGGCTTTTTCATTTGCGGTTATAGTTTCTTCTTGACTGTCCAGATCCCTGTACCATCTGTAGATAATGTACTGGCAAAACAACTATTCTGTCAAAGTGGCTTTTCGGCCAACGGTGGCATCTCATCTACTCTCGAATGCACACATGTGACTAATCTATAGATAAGACGCTCAGATACACTACAATCAGTAATCCGTAGCTGGAGATTGAGATCCACTCAAATCGACATACTTAAGTCGACCGAGTCAAACAATCGCCTGAAACATGTTTCCTTGACAAAAGAATAAGCTCCAATGATCTTTGTATGACTAACGACATCAACCATGAGACGCTCATGAATTCAAAATCTTTCCACGGGTCCACAGAGTATGTACCTCTCAACTGTGAAGGTCCCCACAGTGATGATGGCGATCTCCCGCTCCACAGGAAATCTTCTTTCATGTCCAATAACCAGCGAAGAATTTATGCAATTGAGCTCCTGGTTCCCTCACTGCATTACCTGATTTGGTTCTCTTTTGAGGTACATATTTACAAAATTGACTCCTCAAATATTCCTCCCCACCTGATCTACTGGAAGGAAACCCACCCAACTTAACAGCTCTTGCTGCGAACCTGCAAAATCAAACATCCTGAAGCCTTCACAAATACCAATAGCCACACCAACAACCATTATCGCATGAGCCGTGTTACCTGCATCGCAATGGCAGCCGAGGGCCCAGTCCTCAAGACCCCCCGCCGGTTCCTGTTCATTGCCTCGCTAGGCAACATGCGTCCGTACCGTCAAACACGGCACAGCGCGGGACATATCCTCCTCGATGCGCTTGTCCCCCTCCTCCCCAGTCGAGTCCCTCTGGTATCCTCCAGACAGCCATCCGCCGGTCCCATCTTCTACAAAACATGGTACAGCCCATCATACATGAACGAATCCGGGCCAAAGTTGGTCCGACAGCTCGGTAGCTGGTTATTAACAACACAATCTGAGGTATTAGGGCGAGTAGTCCGCCAAGGGGACGTCGCTTTGCCCGCGAACTTCGGCGATGCCTCTGCAGCGAATGCCGAATGGCAGCTCCGGGGCGTTGATCCCCGCTCGCTGAAGAGTTTCCGACCGACGCTGGTGATCTTGCATGATGAACTGGAAGCGCCGCTGGGCAAGGTGAAGGTGAAAAGGGGCGGGCCTGAGAAGGCAAGTCTGCGCGGTCATCGCGGTTTGATCAGTGTCATGGAGAGTCTGCGCGGCAAGGGCCTGTATCCGCCGCGGGCAGGACAGGCGGCGCAAGGAGCAAATGCTGGTCTGTCCATTCTGCGCGTAGGCGTGGGCATTGGCCGTCCGTCGACGCGAACCCGAAATGATGTTGCGGACTACGTCCTGACTGAAATGGATGCCTCCGAACTGGCTGCAGTCCGTGCAGCTTCGGTCCCAGTCTTGGACATTCTGGCAGATGAGCTCTATCGAGAATCTAATGATGACTGAAAAATATCCAGGGGGGAGTCCCAGTCTGTGCAGTACGACATTACGATTCCTAGACAGATACCCATCTTGTGAGCACCTTTTTCGCTGGCACATCGCATTCGCCTCCAGGACGTTTCCGTTGTGGAAAGCCTTGACTAACAAATTCACGATTCTGAAAATGGGGGCAATCAACCGGAGCAACACAGAATATCATCGCACGGGATTGATTGGTAAATATAGTGTATACTAATCTTGCATAGCCCAGCAAGTGGGATAGAAGAGTAAGAATATCCATGAAAGTAAAGACGCAGGTGCGAGTCAGACCTGCAAAGCGCAGAAATGGCAAAGAGTATGAAGAGGAAAGACAAAACGGGCCCGCTGATATAACGCATCATACAGTCCCCGCTATACTCAGGTCCCGGATCTCTTGCAGAACTTCTTCTACCCTGTTATCCAAATCGCCGCGGGCGTATTGATCTCTTGTCTCGGCGTCGAGATATTGCTGCACCTGAGCCATGCGCGAATACGCTTCGGCACAAAACCGTAGTTGAATCTTGACCAAGGCTTCGAAACTGGGGTCCAAATAGGGCACACGCAGATCGATGAGCTGTGGAAGTTCCGTGAACAGCTGCTCGTTAAGCTGCTCGTATGCTTGCTTGGCCATCTCGGTCTCCTTCTCCGCGCGGGGCAGCTTGGTGGCATCCTTGTCCGGCTTCTCAACCAACTTCTTCACTTTCGCTCTCATGGCGTCGTAGTCCAGCAATTTGTGGTTCCGCTTCTTAATGCACTCGTTGATATCGGGGAAGTACGCACAGAAGCGCGAAATTGGGTCCAGTACGGTTGTTCTGTCAAGCGGATCAACTAGCGTCAATGTTTGCCTGCAGCAAGTATGATCATCCACAGTCGTACCTGTACGGCCCGTCCAATGCTTTGATCGTCTCGGCGTCCAAGTCCTCCACAGCTTGCTTGTAGCTTCTGCTCACACCATCCCGAGTACCCGCCTCGCCGTAGAATGCATCAATCGTCTCCGCAATGCGCATCTGAGAGGCCGTCATTGCTTGCGAGCGTGTCTCGGTCAGCACAATGCCCTGCCATATAAACGGTAGTGTTTCGGATAATTGGCACACCTCGTAACGAATCCAGATATCCCTTTGCTTCCTTCTGCAGTCGATTTGCCGCAGCCTCCATGGTCCGATATCGTCTGGAAAGCGAAATGTCGATCAGTAGCTGATCCCAAATATGCATATCCAAACCAGCTCATACCGCTCCTCGATTTCATAGTCCCGGTCATTCGTTCTCTCAACATGTCCTGTAAGGATTGAAAGTCAGATGCTAGTCCTAGTGATTTACCACCGATGCTTTGTTCTCGGCGGAAGCTTTGCAGCCTGTTTCGCACAGTTGCGGGGAATCATACCTGTTTTCATCATCACCTGCGTTGTCGCACGGTTGACATTTTTCTTGAATCCTACAATGCGACGTACCAATGTTAGTGTGTGTCGAGCAAAGAATCACTTGAAGAGAAATGGACTGCGAACCTGCCCAAGACATGATTGCGGTGTAGGCAGAAACGGGGAGGTGGAAGCGAGCGAGAGTAGAGGATCGAGGGAGGAGTAAGAAGGAATAGAGAGAAATAGGATTAGCAAAGAGTCTTTGTTTGAAGCAAGAAGGAAAATAATGAGAGTTCGATTGTCGATATTACGATTGCACAGTGTTTAACTCCGTACAGCGAAGGCTCGATCGTCGCAGGGCTGGATCTGGATAAGATGCCCAAATGCGGGACGGTGATGATGGCTTCGGGATGGTTCCAAGGTGGCTGTGTGTGGCTGTGGGCATTTATGTTACCTGACAGAATACGTATGCCTGTTTCTTACAGCGCTGGTACTCGAGTTAGCTACCCGTTGACGAATGTATGTGGTAAATTACTTCGTTTTGGTTTCAATCGGTAACCGATCCGACGGTATGGAACAGTAAGTACTGCACGGATTTCCAGCGTACGTCATGCCATATCCATATAACTACCTTAAAATCAACGATTTGAAGACGATGTCAACTGGAAGATTAGACTCAATATGGGCCTCTGCATGATGGTCTAAGATCATGTGTATGCCATTTGATGGCGTACATTCTGCAACTCAAAGCTCGGTAGACTTGCTGGATGAGCTTGATCAAGTAGCACAGCAGAATCTAGGGAGACCGTTCATGACTCCATGGTAAATTTTATACCACGCAGAACCTCGATCAGCATGCTGCAAGGTCACGACCCAGGCGACAACGAACGACCCGGAAGGTCAATCTGTATTCACTTTCGACTATGTAGAATATCTCGCGATATGCTCAGGTATCGGCGAGCATGCGAATAGCTAAATCAACACCTTGTGGGTAAATCGAAGTGGCCCAGCGATTGAAGAGGCTAGTATGAGCAGATCTTTCATCTGTGGTCCACGACCTTACTATTATGGTCTCGAGGCAATGCGGCTTGGGACGTCACAAAAGCCATTCTAGACTCATGAAGCCTTGGGTATTCCTTCCATAGGGCATAATGCCATGTCATATGGTTGAGCGCAGGTAAACAGATGATAAATATGGGTTGAGGCATGGAAAAGGACAATTGTCTATTTCTCACTGCGTGACGAGTGCTTTTGCAGCGTTCATTCTATGAAAAATAGAGACCCCAATGACATAGTGTACATACCCGGGTGAGTATAAACCAGACCTACTTAACCAGCCCGCCTCCCAGTATACCTCATCATAGAAATACAGATCCGTTGAAAAATAGCAAATGAATAACTCGGAAGAGCCAAACCGCGTCTTGATAAGCCAGGGTAAAATCAATGCACGAATGAGACCCGCTGAGTTCATGCAAAACACTGTAGAGAATCCCAGTCATAATACCTCGGAAAAGGAAAATGTGAAAGGGTTGAAAGAAGAAAGAAGAGCAAGAGATAAGCCAGCCTGTAGAATGCTTCGTCAGCCGAATCAAGAGGCAGTCAACATGAGGAAGTCATTAGAGTTTGTAGAGCCGGTATCAGAGCCCATCCGTGGGAAAGAAGAAAGAGTATCGAAGTAAGAAATGACGATAATCTCAATGGTCATGACTGTTCGTTGCAATGGCATCAATTCATGACGATGAAACTAAGCCCATAAGCTAGTAGCAAGGAAAAGAGCAACACAAAATATATGCGCCGGTAAAGGAAAACAAAGATACCTCCTTCTACAGATCTAGTCAAAGGAGGACAACCGCCTGGAACGGGGAAAACATGAACCACCCTGTTTTTCATATGGACACAGGAGGCAATTGTGAAGCACATTTGGGAAGGGAGGACAAGCCCAGGCAAATACCACGTAATATGGCTGAGACAACACCTCCCCAGATGTGCGAAAATCAGCCCTTTGACCCGCACGGATCAGATAACATGCCAGCTATTCATCAGAACCCTTCCTCGCCGGCCTTACACAGCTTGATCTCGCGGACCCACTCAGATTTGAGGACCTGCGAGGCGTTGATACGGCGAGAAGGGTTGGGGTCAAGGATGGAATAGATCACATTGCGACAACGGGCCTGAGAAAACGTAAGCGCTGGAGACCCTCTGAGGCAACCTCGATGAGTTCTTACCCGATGCAGAGTTTCGATGGGAGCATAACCATCCTCGTGCTTGCGGCCTTCCAGATAACGCTGGTAAAATTCGTCCTCATCCTTGCGGGCAACTCTCCACAGGTGCCTTCCTGTCCTCATAGCCATGTAGATGACACCTGTAGCCCAGACATCAACAGCCCTTGGATCAAATTCCTTTTCCACATATTCCTCAGGCGCAATGTATGGAGCAGACCCGCAGAGACCCGCAGTCATGTGTGCTTCCTTCTCCCACGCCATACGGAAACACTCGCCATTTCCGAAGTCTGTAATTTTGAGTGCACCGTGAGTGGTCAGGAGAAGATTCTCTGGTTTGAGGTCACGATGAGCGACTCCCATTTCGTGCATGTATTCTACACCACGCATGAGCTGTTTGAAGAAACAATCGGCCTCGGCAACTTCCAGTTTGCCAGCGGCCAACACGAGCGTGTAGAGGTCTCCGCCGGCACAGTATTCCATGACCTCACAATAGTCGCCTTTGGCGTCCTGTAACAGATCGAGGGTGTGAATAACGTTAGGGTGGCGGAGGGACGAGGAAATACAGAATTCTGAGGTCAACCGTTTCTGGTATTTCTTGGCAGTCTCCTGCGGCCGACGGCGGAATTCTTTGACAGCATAGAGCTGCTCAACTCTGGAGTCCTTCGGGTCCACTTTGTGAGAGATCCGGACAATGCCAAAGGCGCCACGTCCAACAATCTCTTGGCATTTGCCATATTTATCAACGAGAGAGGCCGTGGCGTTGGGACCTCCCTTCTTGTCGGCGGCCAGTTTGTCACGCTCAGTCTTGAATTGGTCGATCCAAGTAGACATTAGTGACAATTGCTGGTCATCCACGTGGTCGTCCTTTTTTCTGCTACCACCACCCAGCATGTCTCGCAGAAGATCGGTCAGCTTCTCCTGCCGTCTTGCACTCTTGAGATGATGACAGTGTGTGCCATCTGGAAACATTTCAAATCGCTTGTGGACGATAGAACCTTCCCTTTGGTCTTTTCCATTTGCAGGCTTCGCCTTCTTTTCTTTTTCGTTGTCACCTTTCGTCGACGTCTGTCGCGAGGGAGCTCGAGATGAAGGTCTTGATGTGGGTCTAGATGGCGCTGCGCTGCCATTTGTAGGAGCCTTTATGCTTTCCGTACTGCTATCTGAGGAGTCTCGAGCGGAGTCTGGTTCTCTGCTCTCTTTGGGTTCTTTCGGCGTCGTCTTCCCAGTATTTGAGAACATGCGGGTGAGGCGATTTGCCATAGTAGATCTTGTAGTTGTCGCCTTTACGGGCTGGGGATGTACGGGGAGTACATCCCCGTTCGCGGCGGACAGATTCATGCCCGCTAGAGCTCGTGTTACCTGAGAATCTCCATCTCGAGGGTCATTCGAAGTCTGTGATGCTGCGGCGGATGAGACTGCGGAAGGTACAGGTGAAACAGATTGCGGAGTCATGTGCAGTGAAGGGAGTGGCTATGTGCGAACGGAGGACAATAGGAACAAAAGCCGCCCCCGTTGCGAGTGGGAGGACAAGCGCCTACAGCACGAAGCTGAAGATGCCAAAGTTTAAAACTTTGGAATATATGAGATTTGAATGTAGGTAGATAGAAAGGAGAAAGAGGGAGGAGAAGGAGGGCGGCGCGAGAGGGAGAAAAAAGTGCGGTGGCCTGTGGTGGCCTGAGGCGACGGTCTACCGAGAAAGTGTAAAAAACGGAAATGTGACGAAAGTGACTTTTTTGTAGTGGAGGCCGGGCGGGCGAGTTCGACAAAGAACCTCCAGAAACAGGGGGGTTCACGAAAAGAGAAAGGAATGAAAAGAGAAAAAAGAAGATAGGCACCGCGCAACTAAGCACGGAATGCCCCGATGAGACTATAAAAAAAATAAGCGACTCTGTAATGTATTTGAGTGCGTTGCCTTGCAATATTAAAGGAGAAAGAAGACGGTGTAGCAAAATTACACAGGGGAAGATGGAACGCCGTTGCCTACGGGGAGGAGAGGTTGAAATAGTGCTGCTGCTGCAACAGTGGTAGGCGGTGCTACGTCGCAGTTAGAGGGAGACAGTTGGGTGGGTGCGGTTCCTACAAGGTCATGGAAGTCTCCAGCAGGAAACAGCCAGTACAAATTTCGCATGAAAAATCCTCCTTTTATGATTCGATTGACCTCTATCATTTTCATTTTTATGTTGGATGAAATTAAACTGGTCAAAGGCCATTCCTACACGCTGTACTACCTGCAGTTAGACTCGAACTAGATATGAGGCAAACCACCCAACATCTGTAAGCAACGTATCTTGCTGAAAACGATGTCCTTTACGGAGCAATACGGAGCAAAATTACGGTGCAGCAGGTAAAGGTACCTATTACCTGACTAAACTAAGGTACCGGACAGTACGTGAGTACCTACCATACTGAGTACTGATCCAGGTTCCGCTTTGCCTCTGTTTGCAT